CACAGATAACCCTTGTGTAGCTTTGTGCATAATTAAACAAACAAACAAATCTATACTTCACTGACGATTAAAAAGTTCACAACGTAACAAAAACACTTTTTACCTTATGTTAGCATGCAACATGAAGTTTATACCCCCACTTTCTCCGTTCCCCCTAAGAGTATATTAGAGTCTAAATTGATTGCTACAAGACTAAAACTTTACAACAACATCAAACCCGATGAAGATGGCGTCATGAAGTGATTGTTGAAATGTCACTGTTACTGTGTGCCAATTGTCAATTTTTATAACGTTATTATCGTTATGTATTGCAGAAATAAAATGTCATGGCTACTTTTCAAGATAACATTTTTTTTAATCGATAAAATATATCCAAAGGGTAAGACGTGCAATTATGAATAATGATGAAAAGCAGATAAGAGAGACGTAAAAAGCTCTAAGTTATGTTACTATTCTATCGTTTTTGTTACATCATATAAAAGTTTGGGAAATAAATTTTCCTTTTCTTTAAAAAATACACCAAAGATAATGGGTTCCGAATTAATGAATCTTACGCTGCAAAGAGACAATTAATCTCCAAAGTAAAGACTACTTCCAGAAAATTACTATCCTTGGCTACTATATATTACTGAAGCGAAAGGTAGTTAACTAGTCACCCAGTTACGTTCGATAAAGGCTTGAAAGAAGTTTATATATATGGGTATCAAACTACTTAACATGAAAACGTGAAATATCTTTCAAGCTTGAGGTTCTTTTACGTTTTATTAAGGTATGCATAATAACCTTAATCTCAACTTTATCCACTAAAAGACTGTAAGGTTCAACTTCGTGAAGCTAACTCCTTTTATGTCTTATCTTTTGTGAGGTGTGGTCGGTTAGACACATTAAAGATCCACTTTCATTATTCAGTCCCGGGATTTGTTGCCTTATTAGAATACTTCATTATTTATATTTTCAACAGACACTGTGAACTTACACTTGTTTTCTGAATTGCATATAATATAAAGAATGAACATACGGAACTGGAATTGTCAATGTGGACGGTACCTTATGTGATAACGTAGAGACCACTAGGATTCAGGTGTATTGTCAATGTGGACGGTACCTTATGTGATAACATAGAGACCACTAGGGTTCAGGTGTATTGTCAATGTGGACGGTACCTTATGTGATAACATAGAGACCACTAGGGTTAGGGTATATTGTCATTGTGGACGGCACCTTATGTGATAACATAGAGACCACTAGGATTCAGGTGTATTGTAAATCTGGACAGTACTTTACGTGATAACATAGAGACCACTAAGGTTCAGGTGTATTGTCAATGTGGACGGCACCTTATGTGATAACATAGAGACCACTAGGATTCAGGTGTATTGTCAATGTGGACAGTACTTTATGTAATAACATAGAGACCACTAGAGTTCCGGTATATTGTCAATGTGGACAGTACTTTATGTAATAACATAGAGACCACTAAGGTTTTGGTGTATTGTCAATGTGGACAGCAACTTATGTGGTAACATAGAGACCACTAAAGTTCAGGTGTATTGTAAATGTGGACGACACCTTATGTGATATCATAGAGAACACTAGAGTTCAGGTGTAGCTACTTCTAAATTTGAGCTACTGGATCAGAGGAAATCCAGCCAATCAGCAGTAGCCGCCTTATAAAGGCTTTGTTCCGCTCCCTAAACCCAAAATCAGAACGTACAGCGTAGATTGTTTAGCGTTATCACATCTCAAACTTTCGACCATGTGGTATGTAATCCAGTATGCTAACCACAGTTGCACTCACGACACACGAAAGTATGAGCACGATACTTAGTCCAAGATAAGCAATTTATTGGAATACACTTCCTTCATGGCACGTTAGTGAGATTGATTTCCGTTAGGCAGTTTTATTGAAATCCTTTACCTACCTATAAGTTCATTTAAGTCCATTTTCTGTAAAGAATCGTTTATTTAGTCTCCAAATGGGACAGATTAAATTTACGGATTTACAATGCTAAGATCTGGGATTCAATTATCTGCGGTGGCTATGACATATAATCTAATGCGGCTTTGCTCAAAAATAAACAAACAAAATGTTTTATTGAAATTCACTTCTCCTAGGAAATTTTATAAATATTTTTATCTTACGACAGCTTTTTAACCTGTATTCCCTTTCCAGTAGTTTATTAAAATTATCTTTTTTTAAATAGCTTTACTGGAACTATTTCCTCTCGAAAATTTTCTGAAATCCATTTTTTTTTACGACATATTTTATGAAATTCTTCACCAAGTGTTTTTTAGTTTTATTGAAATCCAATTCTCCTAATACATTTTATGTAATCTATTTTCCTAAATAATTTTAATGCAATCAAATTTTATTTTTTATTTTGTTTTTGCATTTTAATGATATACTTTCTCCCATGGCCACTACGTAGTTTTATTGAACTAAAGCTTCACTGAAACATATCTGTGAGCAAATGAAATTATCATGTAGAATTTCAAAACTTCTTCAAGAGTTCTTAAAAGCATCAACTAGATAAACAACTTTAGAAAACGGCGAAAGGCTCTATCTCGTGGCACAGCGATATATCCGCGGACTTAGAACGCTACCAATCGGATTTTGATACCCGTGATGGGCAAAGCCCAGCTATCTCATTGTGTAGATTTTTGCTTAACTTCAAACCTAACCTAACCTCTATCTCGTGAAGCAGAAACATCAATTTTTATTTAAAGCATTTTATCTAATGATATAAAAAGAAAAACGATTACCTTTAGGTAAGTCTTATCTTTTAAATTCTTGTAACTCAAACCATTGGAACGCCATCCTTGCAAAATTTCACCTATGTCTGGAGCTGTTTCGTCCACTAGTTGAAATCCAGATATGTTTGTTCCAACATACTGAAATTCTTCTAAGTCAATGGTGTGTAAATCCTACAAAAAACGCAGTTGTTAACCTATGGTTTAAAGAAACCAAGAAAACTTTTTGAAGGTAAATAGTGTTTCAAAAACTTTAGATGACTTTCGCATGAAATTCCAATTTGTTATTATGTTTATAACCCTAATGTACTACATTCCTGTCTCACATCAAAAATTTTATTTGATAAAATAGTATAAAAATTTCCTCAAGACGATTGTACTGAGATTAAAACATTTATTCATTCCTATCAGAAAATTTTGTACCAAGCCCAATAAACGTTTTTGTTGCCCATCAAATAAATATTAGAATAATTAAATTATTGCTATAAACCAATCCATAATACTCTTAGAAAATGTTGAATAATTACGAAATTAAATATTTTAATCAAAAACGTAAGATAATTACGAAGCTAGGGTATACTATCAAACGAAATATTTTTACGAAACTAACGTTTTCCCTCCATAATTATTTGATTTATTACGGTACTACATCTTCAATTAAGAAAAATACTACGACAATATAATTTTTGATAAGAAATGAAGTAATTCCCAAATTTTCTTATAATCTATAGGTTAACCCCAAGATATATCTTTTTACTTACCAAAGATGCGATAAAATAATTGTAATATTCTGACATCATGTCCACTTCTTTGGCCTAGAAAGAAAATTTAAACATTTAATATGCATATTATAAGTGAACTGATATGCATATCTGTTACTTAGTGCGAGTTAAAGTTTATTATAACTGTAGTCTTGGGTAAGAATAAAAGGTATGCTTATATATATTAGCATCTTTGAGTGTTTAAACTAAGATTTTAATATTTTTTGTTCTAATATTGCTTATTAGAATTTTGTAAAGATTTAGATTGCATTCTTTTAAAGTTATAAAAAATGAGAAAAAGGAAAATTAAACTTTGCAGTTTTGTGAAGTCATGTGGCATAAAAAACTGTTGTTATCTTTACACAATCATTAGGCAGACGCAATGTTAATAGATTCGTTTATATGCATAAAACGCATAAAAATCATCAGTCCTCGTGACAACGCAGTATTCAAATTATGAACTCAAATATGTAATAAACACCGCGAATGAGTGAACACACAGTCAACATTTAAATTGCAAATGACTTGGACGAGTTGTTAGGAATGTTATTGGAGACTCTTCATTTTAACAAGACCAAAAATATTTAAAGAAATAAAATAATTATACATATTTGATTTTTATCAAAATAAGAATAATAAAAACCGCTGCACTAGCATAGGAAAATGATTGTTTGGTTGCTTTATCCAGTCAAGTTCTTGAAATGGTATAAAATACATCTACACTTACATTATATCTGGGCCACTTTTAGAATTGTAAATTGTTTCAAAATTTTAAATGATTTTTTTTTTCTGGATGGTAACAGAAAAAGCTTTTCTACGTTTTTCAACTCAGTAAGTGGGCCATACCACACACACACAGACATATACATATATATGTATAAGAAAATAATTCCCCGTCCACGTGTTCCAATGACTGTTTATATTTACAAAGGAAAGATTTAGGTTTATACAGTTCTTTGTAAATGTAAAATTGATATCGGTCTTTTTTGTAGAATCAGCTCTATAACATATATATATTTTTTTTATTTTCGCGGTCTTGCTTTACAGTAGTAGTTTACCTTTTGTATATTTTATATATTTATATCCCACCCTCTCCCTGTAGTGGTCGCACAGCGTATGTGTGTGGAATTACAATGCCAGAAACCGGACTTCGATACCTGTGGTGGGCAGGACACAGATAGCCCCTCGTAATTTTGTGCTTAAACTAAAAAGAAACAAGTATATTTATATTTTCTGCAAGTATATTTGGCTTTCATTTCATGTTAAAGCCAATATAGTTTGGTTAGGATTGAGTGAGTGAGTGGTTAAAACTGAAAATCTGTAATATACATATCTGATGATATTACAATTCTCGTCTCATTAAGGAAAAACACGCTTGCACGTGTCTTTGAAAGAAATATATTTGTAATGTTTGTTTGCATTCGAAGAAGACGAACTGGAAACGAAAGAACATATATATTCAAGTACCTATATGAATTTCAGAACATTATTCAAGAGAATCACAGTTTAGAGATCAGTTTTATTTTAGCACAGGATCTTTTATATAACCAGAGGATCCGACGTACAAAATTAGGGCTTTATTCGATCTTGGTGGAACTTATATAGAATGTAAAACACGATGAGATATGACTATTACATTTTACAGTCTCCAAACTGAACAAAATATTTTATCGAGTTATGACTGGTCACATCATTAGTAGAAACCCCATAGTTAATGAAAGTACTTCTTGTTATGTAACCTGGGGGTTCTCTACGTGAGCGTTCTTTTACTTTTTCGACTGTTGTTGTATCTATTATCAGACCAGAGCCAAATAGATCTTCAGCAGGTAGCTCCAAGCTCCACTGATCGTAACTGGAACTTTGCTACTCTTGGACACGTCATCAACAATCACCATTATTCCCTCGATTACCTGCAAGGTTCCGAGATGCTCGACTTCCAACCTATTTGGCCGATGTGGATGCGATCACGATGGACTTCCTTACAACCCTTGTTGATCCAGATCTATCTATCAAGCCCAAAGATTTTGTGGCAGCACTCAAATAAAAGTTTGGTGCTTTCAAGGTAATAGTAATAGTAGCCTTACAACCTTCAACACATAATAAGATCACATAAGTTGATGTGAGAGTTAAAAAAAGAGGTAATCTAAATAAGGTATGTGACCGTTGCTGGTAAGATGGTGTGGCCACTCCGAAACCCTGTGTCTCTTTAACTACTCATAACTTCTGACTGAAATACCTTATCATCACGAGGATAGCATATGTGGATACAGCAAATTTCAAGCTTTCCAAAATGGTGTACACACCTTCAAGAAATAATTAGCGGTTGAGGGAAAGATCCTATGTTAAAAGCAATAGTTTACTGGTCTGGTTCTTAGCAACGAGAAGACGAACAAAGGCAAAGTCACTATATTACAAATTATAAGAAAAATATATCATTCACATAAGAACATAGCTTGACTGATATGAATGCTTTCGTGTAATTTAGATTGATTAAGTTTGCATAAAATGCAAATTCTGAAAAATCGCTGTAATAAAGAAGGTAGAGATTTAAAAGGTTCAAATAATGATGTTTATTTTAGTTTTTATATTATAAACACAATACTGTTTCTTTACTTTATTTTTAGTCAATAAATGTCTGCAAAGAAATGCCCTAAAACTGTGTAGAAAAGTATTTTTATTGTAAACATTTCTCCACACCACATAACACCTTCCCTGTTGGTAAATATGGTAATGAATTCGGAAAAAATAAATAGCACAATTAAAGTTTGATTTGGTTTGTTTTGAATTTCTCGCAAAGCTAACCAAGGTCTATCTGCGCTAGCCGTCCCTAATTTAGCAGTGATAGACTAGACGGAAGGTAGCTAGTTAACACCACCCACCGCCAACTCTTGGGCTACTCTTTTACTAACTGATTAGTGAAAGTGACCGTCACATTATAACGCCCCCACAGCTGAAAGGGCGACCATGTTCGGTGACGGAGATTGGAATCCGCTACCTCAGATTGCGTGTAGAGTGCCTTAACCACAGTTAAAGAGCGGAATGCATTAGACTTATCTGTTGCTCAGCGCTAAGCTTTATTAGAGCTTATAACGCTAAAAATTTGAATTTGATTCATGCAGCTTAGATAGCCTATTGTGTAGCTTTTCGCTTAACAACAAACAAAATAAAGTTGTGTTTTAGTGTTAAAATAATCCTTCATCATAATATAAGCCTCAAATCATATCAAAGTTCTAAAGGTGTTTACTTTTTTATTATAATTACTTATGTCGTAAATGCATGTGAATAAAATCAGTTTTCTTCAAATAATTGAATAACAACTCATTGGAACTCTTCGACTCTAAGTTCCATGTTTAATGTAAAAATAAAACTATGTTTTCTATTGTATTGAAAGTTAATTTAATGAGCTTGGAAAGGCTATAGTAAATACAAAGTATCAACTCAGCAAATAATCCATTTCCTATATCGATGATGATGAAACTTGTTTAAAATTCATCTATTATGATCGAGGAAAGACATATTTGAATTAAAATCTTAATAGTACAAAATGCACAATACATCATATTTCAAAATAAGAATGTGCAACTTTCTCCCAGGATTCTAAATTGGCTGAAATGCTCACATTTGTTTCAACATCTTATCTGAAGGTAAAACAACAAAACATATAGTTTCAGAAAGTGCACAGAAGTTCTTGGGAACAGTGGAAGGCGTGTTTAAAGCGAAATCCGCTTAAATACCGGCAAACAAATATGTTTAGGAAGATATATCAGAAGATTTCAAGTTTGCCCCAATGAAGAAAGGCATACCTTTCGAAATAGCTCTTGCTATGGAGTTTCTTATTTTTGTACATAATTGATTTTCTGAGCGTAGTCGTTTTCCTGAAGATATATTTTCAGTTTATCTCTTGTCCTCTTGACTTCGTTGTTTATGTAATGTATGTTAGGTCTTTTCCTCACTTAGTTTATCTAATGTCTCTTAGTGTATCTATTGTTTCTAAACTTATATTATGTCTCTTAGGATGTCTTTTAGCCTCTTAGTTTAGTAATGTCTTTTAGCTTACCACTTAGGTTTTTAGATTATCTGTAGTATTTTACTGCATCGTTTTTGGTCTTAGCTTATCTGTGTTTCTTAGATTACCTCTTGTATTGTTAACTTATCTGATGTATCGTAAGGTCATCTTTGGTCTTTTATTTGACGTCTCTTAATACTTCACTTTGTCGCTTAACTTATCTAGTGTCTCTTAATGTGATTATTCGTTTATGAGCTTATCCAACTACCTGTGTCCCAGTAATTCAGCGGTAAGTCTGAAGGCTTATGATTCCAGGAACCGGGTTTCGATACCCATGATAGGCACAGCAGAGATATCCCATTCTGTAGCTTTTTGCTTAACATTAAACAAACAAGCAAACAAATTAGCATCTTTTTAGCTCACTTGTTAGTCTCTTGGCTTATCCAATGTATTTTAGTTTATTTCTTAACCTCCTTACTTATCTAATTTCTCTTTATTTATCGTTTGCTCTCTTAGCTTATCTTATGTCTTGGTCTCCATCTTATCCTACATATTTAGTTCTGTTTATCTATTATCTTGTCTGATATCTTTTCGTTTACCTCTTGGTTTATTGTTCCATCATAATGTTATCCTATAGCTTGGTCTTTTAGTTTATTTGATGTAGGCCTATAAACTAAAAGTTGCAAAATAAGCCTCTTAGTACAAGTAGATCAGAACAGAACATGTATTCATTAGTGTTTTTCATTTTGCAGACATTTATCGGTTAAAAATAAAGTGAAGAAGCAATGTTGTGTTTATAATTATAAAAACTAAAGTAAACATAATTATTTGGACGCTTTAAATCTCTGTCTTCTTTATTACAGCAAATTTTCAGTCTACATTTTATACAATTTTCAATGATTTTTCAGTTATAAACAGTTATGTAGTTTTCTTGGTAGAGTGTTGAAAATATTAAAGTGACTAATATTAGTAGTTAATATTTGCAGATAACTAAATGTTCGAAGAATATATATTCAACATTTTACATGAAAACTTGATTCACGTAAAA